AAAATAAAGATCATTAAGTGTTAAAAGAAGGAGAAATATTATAGCTACAAATGTAATTAATGACATTAAGAAACACGTACCGTACGTATAAGAATACCGTGACAATCAGTACGAAAATAATCATTTTCCTTCTGCAAGTCAAGTGTGTCTACACGTGGCAATATGTTATCATTATGAGGAACAATAGTACTAAATTCTTCATCTACATCTTCATATGTATCTCTGTAATTTTTGGGAGGTGTCTTGAACACAATAGACATTTTTTGATCGAGTGGGTCTGTCACGTAAAAAACTTGTTGTGCTTGTGAGGCCAATATGAAGGGATCACCTTTATGGCCTAATCTTTTTAGTTCAACTAGTGTGTACCCCAATTTATCCCTTTTTACCCCATTTCTATTGTCAACCCAGTCACACATGAAAATTGGAATTCTTTTAAAATGATAATCTAGTACCCATATCTCTTGTAAAACACCATAATAAGTGTTTTTGGCATATGTTACAACTTCTTTACTGATGTGTGTGTCAGTTGCAACAACACTAACCCCACTGTTTTAGTAAACTTTACCTTCACGAGCTTTTGTACGAAAAGTATATCCATTAATAGCATATACATCGTATTTAATATGGGTCCATGTGAAATCCATCTCATTGTCTCTGTTATACTTTCTCTACAGGCCCCTAACTCTCTCTCTACCTGAATTGTAATTAGATTATGAATTTAAGAAATCAAGAAAAAAATAACAAAGAACACAACATATTTGACAAGAATATACCTCCTTTCGTAACCAATGACCAAATGTTTTACTATGCTCTTGTTCTATATGTGCCTTTCGTTTAGTAGGGTGTAGATGTTCCAAAAATTCCATGTGTCGTCTGTCAATACGTTAATGTTAATATTATTATAAAAAAAACATACATGTAAAAAACCTTACTTGATATATGGGAGTACTTCAGATGTATTTTGCAATACAAAGAAATGTGCTTTGCTGAATAGTTCTGCAGAAACTTCTACCGATTTAGCAGCTGATAGAGGAGTACCGTCCGTAATAGAGCTACTATCTACACCTTTATGAATTCCACAATTGTTATGATTGTCAGGTGGAATACCAACAGTATCCATCCTTTTAAGGAATTGACTAAAAAACTCAATTGTCTCTTCTGCAACATTCTCTTCTGCAATGCATCCTTCTGGTCTATTTTTGTTTCGCACGTGCCCCTTAATAACCTTCATAAACCTTTCGAATGGGTACATCCATCTAAAGAATATTGGACCGCATAATTTTACTTCCCTAGTGAGATGAACGGTTAAATGAATCATCACATCAAAAAATGATGGTGGAAAGTGTTTCTCAAGAAGACATAAGGTTACACATAACTCCTCTTGCAACTTATCGAGCTCATCCACTATGATTTCTTTGCTACATATTGATTTGAAAAAGAAACAAAACCTTGTAATAGCAACTCTGGTGGGTGGATGCATAATAGATCGAATTGCTATGGGCAAAAATTGTTGCATGAGCATGTGATAGTCATGTGATTTTAGTCCGATCAACTTCCTATCCTTTAGACTCACCAAACTAGAAAAATTAGAACAATACCCTTGAGGAACCCTTAAGTTGTATAAAGTCTCACAGAATTTGTCTTTTTCCTCTTTTGTCAATGTACAACCTGCTGCGGGAAGTGTTGTGTTGTTCCCTTCTATCTGAGGATGCAGCTCTGGTTTTAAACCATAATGAACCAAATCCAATCGAGCTTTATAACCATCTTTCGTCTTCCCGGGAACGTTCAAAACAGTTCCTGTTAAACTCTCACCCACGTTCTTTTCCACATGCATAAAATCTATACAATGTGGAACCAAATTGTCGGGCCAATACCTTAGTTGTCTATACCATATATTGAATTTCTTCCAGTATGTATTATTTTGCTGGCCCACATCTGAAGTACCCACTTGGTGTGATTTTCTCTTTTTTTTATTCATCTTCCCACCTCTTCCACTTGTTGATTGTTGGATTTCTGCCTCCTTGCCCTTATTAACCTTTCCCCATTTATTAATTATAAATTTTACCCTGTTATATATCTCCTCCCCATTCATAGGTTCTGGAGAGGGTGAGAACTCTTGTTGTCCATTGAATGCCTTCTTTTGTCTTCTGAACGGGTGATCATACGGTAGAAATCTTCTATGACCAGCATAACTCTGCTTATTCGATTCAGGGAGTCTAATGCAGTGTGTCTCTTCACCACACACAACACAACCTTGAAAACCGCTGTATGGGCAACCACTTAATGTACCTAAAGCAGGATAATCATTAATAGTCCACAACACAACTGCGCGTAGTTTAAAATGCTCTTGTGCATATGCATCGTATGTTTCAACTCCAAAATCAAATAATAATTGCAGATCATCAATAAAAGGTGCTAGGAACACATCAATATCGTTTCCTGGTGTTCCCGAAATCAATAACGAAAGCATGATGAACTTTCTCTTCATACACAACCATGGTGGAAGGTTGTAAATGACAGTTAAAACAGGCCAAACACTATGACTCCTATTTCCTCTGTTCACATCAACCCCGTCCGCCGAAATGCCTAGTCGCAAATTTCTTGGTTCGCTAGCAAAATCAGGATATTTGTCATCAATGGCAGCCCATGCTGGTGAATCAGCTGGGTGACTTAAAACGCCAACATCCACCTTTCTTTCTGTTGCGTGCCATGTTAAATCTTTTGCAGTTGTCTTAGACTGAAAAAGACGCTTGAAGCGCGGAATAATTGGAAAGTACCACAAACATTTTGCAGGAATATTGTTGTAAATTTTATTTTTTTGTTCATCAACCTTCCATCTTGATTTACCACAAGTAGGACATGCTGCCAAGTCTGTGTATTCGTTTCTGTAAAGTATACAATTGTTGACACATGCATGTATCTTAGTATACCCTGAACCCATTGCCTTAAATGCTTTTTTCGCCTCATATGTACTACTGTACATTTCGTTTCCTTCTGGTAACATGTTTTTTTATCAAAACTAATAATTCTGTAAAGCACTTATCTGATACTCCATACTTACTCTTCAAGTTGAGTAGTTGAATGATTGCAGATAACTTTGTGAAATTATGACACCCTGTGTATAGGGGCTTCTCGGCATCCTCTATCAGTTCTCTAAACTTATCAGGGTTCCCAATAAAATTTTCTTCTACAGCTTCAACCATCTCTACTGTTTCTGCAGCATCTGTTGGCATTTCTGTGTTCATGTTCGTGGAATCTACATCGTTTGACGTATCCATGTCAAAATTATGTTCATATACATAACTTCTTGGTGGTTCTTCTGTTTCTCCATGCTTATTCCAATTTGTGTATGTTTGATCAATTCCATTCCTGAATAGATGATCATCTACCACATCCACCGAATGAGATATGTGGTTTACACACTTAACACATGGACAGGGAATTCTTATCTTTTTTTTGGTATCTGCAGGATCCATATGTTTAGAAATCTTGTAATTGTGCACTGCATATTTGATAAATTCTGCAACACCTTTTACATAGGTTTCTGATGTTCTGTATGCTCCCATCCAAGACTTATCCATATTCAGCTTACAACAGCGTCAACAAGCAATATACGTTTCCTGTTTATTGACCCATTTTAACAAACAGTTGGTGTGCATAAACAAAATAGATCACATTACTAATAAATCCAATATCTTGAAAGAAAAAAACTTGTTAACTCAAAATAAAATATAATTACACACATCATGACCCAACGAGATAACAAATATTCATATTATGAGGGTAATTGTTTTGTAATTTCCTGTATTAATTAAATGTAGTATTTGTACCTGTATGAATTTGATGTTGACGCATCAATTTCTGGTTGAAGAATAAACGTAGTTGCAGTGCCTTTGTAGTTATCAGAGATTGAATCGATAGGAATTCATATTGTCTAATTTGGGATATTTACGCAATGAGTCTGGATGATCAGGGGCATGTGGAGAAGTGATAAAAAAGTGGATGATCAGGGACATATCGAGACATTAAAAAAAAGAAAAAAAAGTGTTGGTAATTGGGTTCGAACCCATGACATTCCAAAATATACCAATAACTACATTGACACTTACCAAGTGGGGTATCTGGTTGTTTGCAAATAATTGCTTTACGAAAAAACAAAAACATTAACCAAAAGAGAAAGGAATCCACTAAAACTGATCTAATACAAACACAGTTAGCAGGAAATTATATAATTTTGTTTGTTTTATCATAATAACAATTAATGGACGGATATACCCTTGCTATAACAATCTTAATTAACATATAAAACATATAATATATAAATGACTGTTATACCCCTGTGTTAGCATAAATACAGGTTACAACTAAGTTTCAAAGTACATTGCCATCTTAATAAAAAATTAACTAAAACAGGGACAAATATGCAAGACATGGACATAATTAACATATAAAATATAGAATGATAACTAATTACCATTTTGCCCATAAGACAATTATATTAAAAACAACATCAAATCTGGACATATAATATATAAAGGACTGTTATACCCCTGTGTTAGCATAAATACAGGTTACAACTAAGTTTCAAAGTACATTGCTATCTTAATAAAAAATTAACTAAAACAGGGACAAATATGACTCAGTTACAAGTTATGCAAAACATGGATATAATTAACATATAAAATCATAATAACAACTAATTCCGATTTTGCCCCTAAGACATTTATATTGCAAACACCATCAAATTTGGGCATATAACATGTAATAGACTGTTATACCCCTGTGTTAGCAAACAACATTGCCTTTTTCACAACATAATATATCAAAACAGGGACATAATATATAACATCAAATGTAGACTTACTATATAATCAAAACAATATCACCTATAGACATAATATATAACAATTCATTAAATAAAAGAGTTTCATATTAAGTACAAAAGTAGAGTATCATATTCACTCTATATTAATCACAAAAAAGATTACAACATAGTTCACCTAGGCTATGTTTTTCCATGCTATGACATTTTCTTTCGCCATGTCCATAGCATCCTCCATTTTTTCTCTTGGAATTCTCATGTTTAGCATATGTTGGATGTATGCTATTCCATCATCAACCGAAGCCATTGGATGTTCTGTTACAAACATGTGAATAAGCTTCTCAACACGTTTGGCTGGAGAGTTCATCAAAAAGTGTGGGAAATTGTTTGGAACAAACACAGGCCTGTGTTCAACATAGAGATGTTCAATCTCTTTGAATTGGTGGGCCCTAACTAACGTCTTGAATGGTTCCAAACATTCATCATTTAGTATTGGAACCATTGACAACCCACTGTGTTCTTCGATGGGCATATGATACCAGTTCCCCAAACTGGTATACCCAAGGCTTCTAGAAAAACGCCCAAGCAACTCCATGTCTAACAAATCGATGTTCACATAAGAAATGAAGTGAACCTTGGTTGTTGATACGCCTTGCCTGGGTAGTCTGTAAAGAACCCACCATGGACAACGCGAATGGTGAATCGTTTGTCGTTTGGCTTCCCGTATTCAACCACCGGTTTGTTTTTTGGTGGTTCTGCGCTTACACTCCAGAGATTGAAGTTCGGACGGGCCCACGGATCAGCATTCATCTTCTCTTCTGAAAATCGACGTATTTTTTTCAAAGAGGAAGAAGGAGTAATCGAAGTTATCGTAACGTAATGAATATGTGAGAATGACGAAATTGACATAAGCGAACGGTTTATAAGGATCATCAGTCGGAGGTGAAGGGACGTCGACTGAGGCCATCACTTCTCCGATTAATTGCAGTCTACAGAGGTGGATTTTGAACGACGGCTATTCGGCTACGATAATGATTACACATTTTTGTATTACACATTAATATATCTAGTATTGACATTAATATGTATTATATTCATGTAAAAAACTATCTACAATATTAATTAAATATAATATCCATACTAGCATTGTTTTTTTTAATCAAACAAATAAATAAATTTATATATAAATTTTTAGTAAATATGTAAAATGAATTTTTTAATTCAATTGATCATGTATGGGTGTTGGTTGTGGGTTTGGACCTCATTTGGTCATGTGTGGGTGTTGGTTGTGGGTTTGGACCTCATTTGGTCATGTATATAGTGTTGGTTGTGGGTTTGGACCTCTTTAGGTCATGTATGGGTGTTGGTTGTGGGTTTGGACCTCATTTGGTCATGTATGGGTGTTGGTTGTGGGTTTGGACCTCATTTGGTCATGTATGGGTGTTGGTTGTGGGTTTGGACCTCATTTGGTCATGTATATAGTGTTGGTTGTGGGTTTGGACCTCTTTAGGTCATGTATGGGTGTTGGTTGTGGGTTTGGACCTCATTTGGTCATGTCCATAGTGTTGGTTGTGGGTTTGGACCTCTTTAGGTCATGTATGGGTGTTGGTTGTGGGTTTGGACCTCATTTGGTCATGTCCATAGTGTTGGTTGTGGGTTTGGACCTCTTTAGGTCATGTATGGGTGTTGGTTGTGGGTTTGGACCTCATTTGGTCATGTCCATAGTGTTGGTTGTGGGTTTGGACCTCATTTGGTCATGTATGGGTGTTGGTTGTGGGTTTGGACCTCATTTGGTCATGTCCATAGTGTTGGTTGTGGGTTTGGACCTCTTTAGGTCATGTATGGGTGTTGGTTGTGGGTTTGGACCTCATTTGGTCATGTCCATAGTGTTGGTTGTGGGTTTGGACCTCATTTGGTCATGTGGGTGTTGGTTGTGGGTTTGGACCTCATTTGGTCATGTCCATAGTGTTGGTTGTGGGTTTGGACCTCATTTGGTCATGTATAGTGTTGGTTGTGGGTTTGGACCTCTTTAGGTCATGTATGGGTGTTGGTTGTGGGTTTGGACCTCATTTGGTCATGTCCATAGTGTTGGTTGTGGGTTTGGACCTAATTTGGTCATGTATGGGTGTTGGTTGTGGGTTTGGACCTCATTTGGTCATGTCCATAGTGTTGGTTGTGGGTTTGGACCTCATTTGGTCATGTATGGGTGTTGGTTGTGGGTTTGGACCTCATTTGGTCATGTATGGGTGTTGGTTGTGGGTTTGGACCTCATTTGGTCATGTATAGTGTTGGTTGTGGGTTTGGACCTCTTTAGGTCATGTATTGGTGTTGGTTGTGGGTTTGGACCTCTTTAGGTCATGTATAGGTGTTGGTTGTGGGTTTGGACCTCATTAGGTCATGTACGGGTGTTGGTTGTGGGTTTGGACCTCTTTAGGTCATGTATGGGTCTTGGTTGTGGGTTTGGACCTCATTATGTCATGTACGGGTTGTAAGTGTGTAATACCATAGGATAGTCATTGGTTTATGGAGTTATGGCATATAAATTATTATTATAAATAATTACGCCTACTAGACCATATTATTATTTTTGTTATATAATAATATTTTTCCCTTGTATATTTAATTTTTTAACTTTATATATTTTTTATTTCAAATAGTCATAAATGTTTTTTCAAAAAATAAATTGTTACCTTAGAAGGACCAAATATGTAATATTTATATTCTTACCAAATAAATCATACTAATTTTTGAAACGGCAGGACATGTTTCCAAACCACGATTTTTTCTTCTAATCGTGTGGGATTACTATAGATCAAATTTGAAACACATTTGAATCTGTCAAACGAATTTAAACAAAAACTAATGAGAGGCAAATATTTTTTTGTATGGTTTTTGGGCTCCAAATCAAAGCGGGAAATCTTCATCTATCGCACCGCCAAAACTATGAAGATCAATCCATCGGATGAAGGAAATTCCGGTAATTTTTTGGTAACCTCCATCAATTTAGGACCTGTTAAATCATTTTAATATTTAATAGACTGTCATTTATTCCACCATTGTTTTGTTTAGCGTTAGGTTATATCCCAAAAGGATCATACTTCAGTTCATCATTCATCAAGCTTTCTAGTGTAAGTATATTGTTTGTGTACGTATAGTTTCAATGTTATTGATTGTATTGATCACGGATCATGCATAACACAAAGAATTTTGATTCTTCATATTGGTGTGCTTCTTGCACACCAACTGTTCGATGAAATGTTTATGTGAGCAATTGTCTGTAATATTATTTGTTCATACATTATCATTAAACTTATAAACAATCAAACTTATTTTCAATCTGTTTTGTCAACAGAAGAATCATGGAGGTTGACAAGGAACAACATGAGGATATCCCTGACTATAATACAGAATATGAGCTAGATGATGGAAACCAAGAATATGATTCGGATACAGAGAATGGTGAAAATAAAGACATTCACTACAATAGCCAATCAGATTCGGAAGAAGAAATCCATAAAACAGTTCCTACAAGGTCAAATAGGAAGAGGGGCATGACTCGATTGCCAAAACTGAAGACTGAATATGTCAATTCTGGTGGAAAAAAACGTGTCAGGTTTGATGAATTCGGTAAGTTTACAGGGAAGAATAATGCAGTCTTTGTTAGCTATTTGGGTGATCTTGTCCGCGAGAAGGTGGGATTAAGTGCTCTTTGCTGGAAAAAAGTTAAACCGGAAATGAAGGACATACTATGGGAAGAGATAACAGTAAATATTTTCTTCAATTTTTTAATCTGTATAACATAATATATGTAAAAATCAAGTTTTAAATACTAACATTCTCATTGTTTTTTTAGCGCTATTTTGAGGTTCATGAAAGTGGAAAACAATTTGTGATGAATAGACTTGGTATTCTTCTACGGAATTTCAGAAGAAAGTTGTATGCAGATTACATCAAACCACATCTAGGCAATCCCAAAAAGCTTGAAAAAATCCCACTTCGTTATCGTGCACTAATCACTGAACAAGATGATTGGAACAAATTTGTGACTTATACACAATCTCAAGAGTTTAATGTTAAAATCTTTTTTCAAAACTTATTCATTTATTTATCATAATCTGGGTTATAAAAGTTCGTGACAAATATGTTACTTTTATTTCACAGAATGTGTCACAAAGGACTATCAAAGCGAGAAAGATGTCAAAGTATGCTCATCGGATGGGACGAGGGGGGTATACAACTCTTAGGAGGAAGTTGGTAAGCTTGGTCATTAGCTACATTAACTTCATATCATTTTATTTAACATGCTTTTGTTTCATATTCTTTATAATTTAATTTTTTTATCAAGATTGAAGAGAATGTGATTTCGAAGGAGGAAATGCCCCCAAGGTCAGTTATGTGGTGTAAAGGGCGTGAAAGTAAAGGAGAATTTAAGGATGAAGATGTTAAAATCATGGCTGATAAACTAGTAACTTCACTACACTTTTCTTTTTCTTTTACTTTAAATATTTTAATCATTGTTATTAAGACAATAATTATTAATTTTTTGTTTGGTAGATGGAACATGAGAAGCAGATAAAAGAAGGACAAGTAAATGTTGAACCAGGAACGGATGCCATGACCTTAGTTTTTGGCAAGGAAAAGGGCGGATTTTTAAAGGGTGTCGGCACGGGAGTCACTTACAACAGATATTTCAATGTTCCTCGCAGCAAAGGGTCATCTAAGGAAGAAATTAAAGATCTTAAAGTTGCACTGCATAATGGAAAACTTGAGCTTGAGAAAAAAGATGTTGAACTCAAGGCTTTGTCTACAAAGGTTAATGAACAAGATCAAACACTAAAGCTAGTTTTGGCTCATCTTAATGCAAAAGGAGCTGACTTTCCAAATCTGTCTCATACAATTGTAAGTAATCTTATTGAAAATATATGTTGTCAATGTTAGTTCTAAATTGCATTTCTTTTAAACATTTTTCCTGTTTCTTTATATTTTCTAGGGTATTTCAAGTGAGAAGATTGTACAAAGTAATGAAACGTCTCCTGTTAGTCTCAAAACCAATGAACCTTCAGAACCTGTAACACCAGTATGTTATCGTCTTATTAGATCATCGTTGATATATATATATATATATATATATATATATATATATATATATATATATATATATATTTGTTTGGTACTGATTTCTGATTTTTCATGTTGGACTTTATATTATGTAGGTTATTCCAAAACCCAACAAAAAACCTGTTCAAACGAAATCTGCAACTGCAGCACCCGATGCAAAATTGATTTCCATGAAATCTGCAACAGTAGTATATACTAACTTTACAGTTTTCAATACTTTTATTTAATCTTTTTTATTAAAATATATGTTTAAATATGTCTTAAATCTTGATATCAGGCAAATACAAAAACCACCAACAAAACTGTTGAGTCTAAGACTACCACTATCAATCATGACATACCAAAAGTTTCACCAAATAATCCCATTCACCAGGTCAGTGTTTTTTTACATGATGAATATACATTTCTGTTTTTTTTCCAAATTATAACATTACTTGTCATTGTAGCCAATCAAGTGTAGTCTATCATATACGTATAAAAGGAACATCGTTGCCCGCGGTACCATTCACTTATCATCAGAAAGACAATTCATTCATGGAGTTCCTCTACAAGATGATTGCTATAAAGTTTCCATTGATGAAGCGGTTGTAAAAACTGCATTTCTACCCCATCAAACTGGAGAATTCAAATTAGTTGAGGATGCATATAAAAGTTTTGTTCCATGGCCAAAATACCTTGTGCAAACCGAGTCAGAGGTTTGTTTCAATATGTCCAATACTTTTTGCATTAAACTTTATTTTCTTCATAAAGTACTATACTAAGTTTATGATGAATTAATTTTATTGGTTTCA